ATTTAATTCCTAATCCTTTATTCTTTTCTCCAGCCATTGATAAAACAAGTCCCAAGTCTGATAGTATTCTGTTACTTCTTTTTCTTTCAACCTCATAGTAAGTCTGTCCATTTCTGCACATTCTGATATTTTTTTAATTATTTCTTCCTCTGATGATATTTTTTCCTTTTTCTAATATGCAAATATGATTCTTGCAACTGTTATCACACGTAAAATCAAATATATACTTTGTTTATCAATCTTTTCTGGCATAATACCTAATTTTAAAAAGTTCAGGTGTAAAATCTGGATGTTTTCCCAACATCTTTTCTAGCCATGTATTTTTTTCCCAGTATCTCTTTGCTTTAACACATGTCCACTATACATGATAATAAGTACCTAGCTTATGTTTACATTTCCAACATCTATCTATCAACATATTTTTAAACATTTTTGCCAATCTTGCTGGTGGCAAGTGTCTTTTATCAATGAACATCATGCTTTTCTGCATAGTAAAGCTATACCTAGTTAACTCTCTCCTGCCTGTTTAGTATTTCTCTAGCAGTACCACAGGAGTGAGGTACAAACTCCACCTCTTTCGCTTGTTTTATCACATCACAGACAATTATGCTAGGGATGGAGCTTTCATCATGACATTACAACCATGTTTTGTCATTTTGATATCATCATAACTAGCTGTGAATGCCTCTACCCATGTCATTCGGCCAAGTCAAGAATATCACATTCCCCATGAGAATATCAACACATTTTTTTGGGGGGGTGGGGTGGCGGTGGCGTGTTAACTTTTCTTATGAAAAAAAGTGTGAGTACAATTTGTTTTCCATTAAATTGAAGGGAAATTGTTTTTAATTATCAAGATAATTTTATGAGCAACTCTAAACTACAGTTATACCAGGCATGAAAATGCAAAAACAGGCGATTTTGTTCATTGACAGGTTTTGGTTTATGGAGAAAACGATGAGATAAACCTTACCAGATGTGTACCTCCAGATGTGTAGTTTGGCTATACCATCCATAATTTCCAAACAGAATTGTTAGCGATATGTAATTTTCTATTCCTTTTCTTTCTCTTGAAACTGATTGTAATAATCATGAATCAAGAAATTATATGCGTTCTTGAATTTTTAGACAAAAGATCATAAAAATAATTGGTGTTAGTGAATAAATTTCTTACTCTTTGGTTTACTAAAACAAATAGAAAAAAAACAGTTGAAACCCATCTGCAGACAAAGACATGTTTCAGTGTGTTTGGAATGCAATAGCTTAACTTGAATAAAATGTGTGTAATTCATAAGATTGTGTCATCTTTTTGGCAGCTGCACTGCCCAGCACTTTTATTCCTTCCAAAAAGGCAGAATAAACAAACATGTGCTTATGACTGATGTTCCAAAACCAATATTTAAAGCAATATGTGTTACTGGGTTAATTTTAAAATACCAATTTCAATAGATGCATAGTTCATATCTACAAATCTATACTTTGGAATTTGTTTCACCATCTAAATCCCATAGATTCCAAGCTGCGTCTTTTGCCAGGAGCCAAGCAAGGAATTTTTTTTTATTCAGCTATAGCCTTTTAAATTATTTCTGTGCAGCTATGCAAACTACAATCAATCTGCATATTTTATCAGATATGGAAAATATCCAGTTTCTAGTTTGTGCTGATATTCTGGGCAGCACAATCATTATGAGACAACATTTAAATGCTGGTTCTGTATCTTACCTCAACAATATTTTGCTGTCTCCTTTAGTCCATAAATCATCATCACCATAACAGAATAACAGAGTTGGAAGAGACCTTGGAGATCATCTAGTCCAACCCCCTGCTCAGGCAGGAAACCCTATACCATTTCAGACAAATGGCTGTCCAGTCTCTTCTTAAAAAACCTCCAGTGTTGGAGCTTCTGGTTGCAAGTTTTCCCACTGATTAATTGTTCTAATTTCCAGGAAATTTCTTAGTTCTAGGATAGTTGTCTCCTTGATTAGTTTTCACCCATTGCTTCTTGTCCTGCCTTCAGGTGCTTTGGAGAATAGGTTAACTCTAGACATCATTATCATTACTATCATCATCATCATCATCAAGAATGTTTTAGAGTTCCTGATGCAAAAATGATGTAGTCATGTACTGATGATCTGTACATCCTATCTTCTGAGGCTCTGAATGGGGAACAACAGGCTTCAAATGAACTCTGACAAGATTGATTGGCTTTGAGTTTGAGGATCCTCTCGTTGTATGATTATATATTTCAAATGTTGGATGGGGTTATACTATCCCATAGAGACCTCCTGAACTCATGACTCTTGCTTGAAGAGCAGATGGCAATTGTGGTTAGGAAGGCCTTTGCACAACTTGCATGGGGTGCCATTTGTGCATGTTCCTGTTTCAAGGACCTTACTCGTGGTCTCTCATGCCCTGGTCACCTCCGTGCTGAACTATTGCAATACACTCTATATGGAGCTGCCCTTGAAGACTATCCAAACCTTCACCTGGTGCAAATTGGAGCAGCGTGAAATTATATGTGTCCCTGGTAGAATGTATATTACATCACTAGCTACAATGGTTACCAGTTTGTTTCTGGATCCAATTCAATGTGATGGTGTTGATGTTTAAAGCCTTGTAAAGGATATTTGAGGTACTACCTTTTCCTGCTTTAACTTGCCCACCTGACCAGTTTGAATAGAATGGATACATAGTCCAGAGAACTAGGTGGGCCCTATGTACCTGCTGTGGCACCTGCATTTTGGAATTCCCTCCCACCCCCCAGAGATGAGGTCAACATTGTCACTTTTGAAGGTCCTTAAGACCTGGTTATGTCAGCAGGCCTGGAAACACCAGGGGATGTGTGAGATGGCTGAATTATTTATTTTTTATTTATTAAATTTGTTTGCCACCCATTTCACTGCGAGGTGAGTCTGAGCGTCTTACAATGTTAAAAATGGTAAAACATGTATATATATAACACAGAGACAGACAGACAGAGAATAGTATGCAACTGGGTGGTCACAGCAAATATTTATTTGGTTTGGATTTCTCTTCTGTTCATTTACTTTCCATTTTGTTAATTGATAAAAATAAACTATTAACACTTCTACTACTGAAAGCATTCTTAATTTAGGGCATTTTTGCATTAGGGCATAAGCAACTGCTTATTACTTTTGCACAGTACTGTATATGTAATGTTATTATTAATATCCCTTTATTATTTTCCTTTTCTTGTTTAGTTCTGTTTTAGTTTTTAATGTTTCTTAATAATAATATATACTGGTTTTGGATAACAATTGTTATATAGTTATTATCTTTTGGGATTGTTGTGTGATACAGAATCAGTTTTGTGAGATGGGCGGCCAATTTGATAAACAAGAAAACAAATGGTGATCTTGCATGATTGCCAAGTCCATGTCTTTTTAGTGCTGGATATGTTGTACAAGAGAGGTTACATAAATCAAGTGGATCTTTCTGGTTTCAATGAGTACAGTGTATTTAGCTGGCAATGTTATACATCTAGTTGTACCTCTTCACCTATAATGTTAAACAATATTTCTAATCCAGAACAAGAAATGTAGCAACAAACATTACATCTTCATTCATTTTGTTCAGTTCTTCAGAATCTAAAATATTGGGAGATATCCTGTCATGCCAACTTGCCTACTGATGAAGGCTTCCCACTTCATTTTATTTTCAGCTCTTGAATCAAAGTCACAGAGCTCATGTAGAAATTATGGATCACTTTGATCCACAATTGGCTTTTTAAATGGATTAAATTAGAGGCTTTATGGCACCCAGCAATACATAAATAATACATTGTTTCTTAATAATATGGTCCAGTTACTCCCAATTCCAGTCTGCAACAGGGCAGAAAAGGATTTCATTTTTTTCATATTTGGCTTGGGAAAATGGGTTTGAGCTGCATGGTAGCATTTGAAAGCAATTATAAATAGAACAATTTCTAAAACCACTTTTGGGATAGTTTAGAATATTGCTGAAGGCAGTGACCCATGCTGTTTTAGAAAATTATGGGATTCTCATTTTTAAAAAAGTTCAGTACAAAGACAAACACCTTTCCTTCTATATAGCGTATTAGAGCATGGTGACTGGTAAAAGAAATTGAAGCATTCAGATTGTATCTTTTTTTTGTTTTCCATGTTATTCTAGTCATAGAGGGACATCTCTAGATATAGTTCAATATTTATAAAATTTACCACAGTGCAGTCTTCACACCTTTCTTCAATTCACAAATCCTTTAATCCCATAAAGTTGATACTGAACATAATTAAGTCTCATGTAACATTGTCCTAATTAAAAAATATATAGCTAAGGAAGCTTAGCCTTATGGTTTGAAAGATTTGGATTTTTTTAGGAATAAAATGAAGGTATTAGATAAAATTTGATGAAAGTTAATTTTGTCTGTGTTTCTTGTTTGCACACCTTAGTGATTTTTTTTGTAGTATTGTCTGTCTTAATGGATGCTTATTTAGTTAAAATATCTGTTAAGAAACTTCTATAAATTATAGAAGATCCTATGTTCTAGTTTATACTTCAGATTATATAAATACATTTATGTATAAATCTAATATGCCTTGTATAGTGCATTTCATGAATTGAGCTCACACTAGAATATATTTTGGATGGTTCTAGAAATAGAATAGTTATAAAAATTCCCTTTTAATGACCCCAAAGTCATTAGTTTTGGAGTAGAATTAGGGTGACTGGATGAATCTGAGCATTACTGGCTGGATGTCAGTAAACATTCAGCTCCATTCAGTTCCCGACTTTACCATGAAAATTATAAAGCACAAAGATATTCTACCTCAAATAAAATATCTATGTATTTGATAAACAGCATGAAAATCAATAATTCTAAAACAGAAACATACATTTAACCTTGATTCTAGCTTAACTACTAATGAATAACAAGGACTCAAACTTAGAAAGAATAACTATCTATGATTTTATCGTTATACTGAAATATTTGAAATTCTGACATAACTAGAAATTTTCAATATTATAAATATTTTATTAGAATAAAAAAATACATACAGATAGCCATAGGATATATACACACACAGCTAATAGTTGAAAGAAAATTAGGTAAAACTTTTCAATATGAAACTAGTATATTCTAAACATCTCATGGAGACAATAGCAGTAGAAGGTAAATTCAGTTAAGTTGATCATGAAAATGGTAGTAATAGGAACATGGCATAGAATTTTCTTGTAACACGAATGGTAAATTTACCATTCAGTGGATGAACATTTGCTATGTATTATGTAAAGGATCTTTATTCCCATTGAAAGATAAGTATTTGGAAGCATCAGTAGTTCCCATTTTCCATGTTGAGGAGCCAGAAGCTACAGTGTTATATTTTACTATGTACATTATATACAGACACAAAAAGGAGAAACTGTCAAAGCTGTAGTCATATGATTATTTTTTGTTCTGAAAAACCTAATAAAATATAGAGCAATGTTTGAATTTTTACAACTCTTGTTCAAGAGTCTACCTCAAGTGTTCAGTAGAAAGGTCAGAAAAAGTGAATCCATACAAATTATATTTAGAGTGAGAATTATTTTTAGAAGCATTGAAATTGTAAACAAGGTATGCCAAACAGGGATGCTTATACATTATTTGGAATGAAAACATTGGTCAAAAAGAAAATTAAATTTGTTTATATAAATAAGAGAGCAGGAGTGAATCTATCATCCAGAATAATTCTAAACAATGGGTAGAAACATTGCAGTTGGACCTAAATCCAAAGAGAGTATAATCTGGCATTTAGGACAGCAACAAATTGTGGGTTGGATATTCAAACACATTACATATAATTTAGAAAGTTATTTCCTGGCTATAAGGCTCTGGTGCATTGTACTGGAAGTGTGATGTTCTATTCTGGGCACTTCATCTGTTTCTAAAAAAATACAAAGCAAAATACTAATATAGACAAAAATATGATGTAAAACTAAGGGAACAAGAAGAGCTACAGTAGTTTACACCAAAAGGATGTGCAAGCATAAATAAAATAAGTTCAGATACTTTTAAAGTTTGATATATCAAGAGGATTCTAAATGTTAAGGACCGAATTGACAGCTCTATGGAAGAACATAGTTCCAAGTGAATTTGTCCTGTAAAACTTCTGAAGTACTTTCATCGATTAATATGGTTTTGAACCAAAAAGAAGTACAATTCCTTTTTTATGTGGGTGGAAAGACATGAAAAAGATAAGGTACCATTCAGTGCTCTAATGTAAAAGCCAATCCTGGGATTTTCCATTTTTAAATTTTGAAACTGTACAAATACATTTTCAACTAAGACATTCTAGAAGATTACATCAGTCTAGAACAGAGAAGAATACTGTCTCCTTAAACAGTCTCTACAAATAAAGCAAACAAACAAACAAAAATGGGTGGGTGGGGGAAACTAGCAGAAGCTACCAAACATTAATGAGGCAAAAAAAAAATTGGAAGCATGATAAGGTTTTTAGTAAACCAGCTTTTTTATATTTAACTATTTACAACAAAAGTAAATATGTATAGTCTATATGAATATAAACAGAGATAATCATTTATTCAAATGAAGTTTAGCACTGAGAGGCTTTAAGAAAATTATTCAAGGTTTTTCATCAAACAGTGTTGAAATATAATTTGTAATTAATGCAAATTAGTATTAGAATGTTTTATTTCAGATAACGTTAAAATAATTTCTTGTTACTTGGAAAACATAAAGACTCTCAAAGCTTTTTCCAATGCTGATCTTCTTATTTTTGTCACATCAGAAATATGTAATGTAAAAAATCCTTTGGTTCATTAAGTCTTAAGGCATTTTATATTCCTTTAGAAGGAATTGTTTGAGATGGACATGATCTTTATTTCTTTAGAATGAAGTATCAGAAAGGATACAAAAAATGTTTAAATGCAGACTGGTAGTAAATGCATGCATAACTCCCACCTATTATTTCTGTTGGTCTTGTAATGGTTGTCTTAAAAAGCACTTTAAAGTAAATGATACATCTGGTCTTGCACTATCTGAAAATACACTATCACAATATTGCATTGAAAATCAAGAGCAGAGTTATTGACATCAAGCTGGAAATACAATTTAAGATTCCTGCACAGCTTCCCCTTGCATCCATACCTGAAACAAATGAAAAACAAAATAAAAGGTTAGTGGAAGAACAAAATAATGTGTATTTTTAACAGTACCCTGATATTCCACACATCTGTCTTTTAAATGCAGATGGACTGCTGAATCTTGTCCTGATGGCTCCTATGTTGTGCCATGCATTTATGAAGTGGCTCTTTTGTTTCCCCAGTGTACAGATCTGCACATGTCTCACTGTATTAAAAGACAAAGGTCACTCTTTTGAAGTCAGCAAAGTCCCCATTTTGGACAGAGAGGACTGCTGATTTGAAAGAGGGGTCAAAGAGGCCATCTACAGTAGGTTAGAGTTGAACAGCCCTCTCTCAACAGAGGGGGAGAGACATACATCATCTATCTCCAGTCTACAACACAGTCCTTTCACCAGTTCCAAAAAGGCTCCACAGCCATTTGCACTATTCAAGACACTGAGGACACATAAACCTCCAATGGGCCTCAATGACTTGCTAAAAGAATGCAAATGACCAGCTGTCTGCAAGGAATATAAATCCTTCCATTCCCCACCAACTAGTCAAAGCTGAAGAAGCTTCTTGGATGAAGCAAAACATCTTCAAAGAAAAACAAGAAAGTCAAATTGCCTATTGAAAGAGCACCTTTGGGACAACCATGACCTGTAGGACTGAAAATCTCCACAGACATGTCCCTGCTAAGTATAAAAAATAACAGAATAACAGACTTGGAATGGATCTTGGAGGTCTTCTAGTCCAACCTCCTGCACAAGCAGGAAACCCTATACTATTTCAGACAAATGGTTGTACAATCTCTTCTTAAAAACCTCCAATTACTGGAGGCAAGTTGTTCCACTGATTAATTGTTCTGTTGGGAAATTTCTCCTTAGTTCTAGGATGATTATTGTTATTGGTAGGTGTTTGTCAACCAACCTAGAACTAAGGAGAAATTTCCCAACAAAACAATTAATCAGAATCTTATCCATCTGCTATAAACAAAAACCCCTTAGGCTTGATGATTTCTTTCTTGATAAGAATCTTCAACCTTAATGGTTTCACTTTTGGCAAAACGGAAAACCATTCCAAGATAAGATAGCTGTATCCTTCTTATTCTTCATAAAATCTAATTGGATGAGACTATTGAAAAAACAAGTGTACTTAATCAGAAAATTCTCATAGATGAAATATTGATGCAGACCTAACTGAAATTGGCATTCCTAATAAATACATATCTTTTGAGGGATCCTTGGTGGTCTCTGAGCTTGGCTGTTTTCTTACAGTCCTTTCAATACCCAAACATCATCAGTGCTAGTAATGAAACATCTACTAGCTCAGAGACTACCAAGGACTCCTCACTTCAACTCTAAGCTACAAATATTCTCCTCTATTGGTAAGTGTCTTTTGTCTGCCACTGCTTCTTCAATTGTAATTCTGTGATGTTTTTGAAAGGGCTGGTAAATATTAATTGTCTCTACCAAGGAAAAGATGAATTTGTCATTCTTTGCAAACACAATTACTGATCCAGGTTCTGACATTCAAAAAATTTAATAACAATAAAATTAATTAATTTGTTTGAAAATTATTTAGTGTGTGAAAATAGTCAGTGGGTTCAATACAAATAATTACCTGTAGAAAATGCTGACTGTATGTGTCTGGGCTTGATTATGTTTATGCAGCCAATAAATCTCATCTCTCCAATTAAGCACAGGCATCTGGCATTCAAGAAATTCTTATATTTTAGGAGTTTGGGAAACATTTTTTCAGTTAAATTGTTTATAGGTCTAAAACACAGTAATCTATTTCTAATGTTATCCTGTTGTTTGAATATTGGCCTTTCATCCTTTTATTTTTATTTTGTGTTTTGTTTTGGAAGAGAACATATCTATATTATAAATTCTGAAACACATTATATGATAAATGGAACTTTCTTTTGAAAAGTTGGGCCTGGTTCCTGGTAACTATATGGATTTGTTCATATTGTTTTCTTGGCAGTACCAAGAAAGACATTTGTCACTACGTACTTTCATGATTCAATCAATCCATCCATCCATCCATCCATCCATCCATCCATCAATCAAAAGCTTTATAATGTAATTTACAATCCTGGGATTTTTTTGGGTGGTTTCCTTACCAAGTATTAGCAAGGTCTGATTATTCCTAGCCACAGTTAGCCAGACTGAATCACTTACTGTATCTTTACTGATATGCATGATATACTGTTAAAATAATGTTTTGAACTCATGCATATATTACAAGAATACAATATATGTTTGATCTATCAGAAATAATAACTATATGGAAATGTAGTTATTTATACAAACTCACTTACTAAAGACATTTTTCCTTAATTTCCTAAATTAAGCATTATTCAGTTCCTGCTGTTTCCTTGTAAAAATCTACCCCCAGAAGATTGTAAATGAGGGGTGAAACACCTTCTTCTTTTTAAATTGAACATTCATCTCATATTTTGGCCACATTATATAAAATGATATGGTAAAAGTAGAGAATCTTAGCATAGCTCTTTATTTGGAAGCAAGTTCATCCAAAAGACCAGATCAATTTCTTTCATGAAATAACATTCATATTTTATATTAAGTTTCATCCTGAAGATAAACCATATTTTAACAAAGTGTCATACATTAGCATCCTGTAAACATACTTGCTAATTTAGGGACTTTAATCTGGTCACTGCTAATGCCATCTCCACCATCAGTCACTGCTTTCACTTCTATAACATAATCATTGTTTAAAGGAAGCAAAAGTTCTGCAGATGTTCTGTTTGTGTCCAGGATACTGAGCTGGTTCTGACTGCTAGTCCAATATAAAACCTGCAGCATTAAAAAAAAGTGATGACTTCAGTGATACTACTTAATCATCATTTTATATCATTTCTAGGTAGAAGAAAAAAAAAGATTCCTGAAAAAAGGGTTGAAAAAGAGACTGGATATTTTGGTTTCTCAATCATGGGATCTTTTAAACAAATAGATTATTATTCTATTGGAATTTGTCTTTATCTGTACCAAGCATTCACGTAAGTATGTAAGTAACTAGGATATGGATATTGAAGCAAACAAAAAAAAAGTATGAATATTTATGGACCATAGTAAAAGAAAGCTTGCATATAAGCAAGAAATTACTCTGGATAGAACTTAACTGTCTTTTGTGCTACATTTAAATGATGATTCATTTCAGAACAACATGCAGAATTCCACTATAATAAACATTCTTCAGAATACAATTAATATACAAATGGCCATAGTCCAGAGAATTTATTAAACTATTTATTATGTGGACTGAAGGAATATTTTGTTCTAAGCAACTCTGTGAGGTAAGAAGCTTAATTAAAAGCAGTTTCAAACTGATGTTATTCTGCATATTCTAAAATATTATTGTTAATGTTACTAATGGCTAGTCAGCATTCTGCATTTAGTAACTTTTTCAGATTTACTTTATCTTTCCTAATTCCCAATAGTAAATCAGACATTGAGAGAATGGGAAGAAAGGAGAAAGGCATAATATAGTATATGTTCCTTACAGTCCCATTCACAAGCCCAAAAGATCAGTTCCCAGAACTCATCCTAGGAATAGGCTACTTAAGGGATACTTAACACTATTGCTTCATATGTTCATATCATTTGCTTTAAAGTTTACTGAATAGTCTTGGACAACCACTGCCTCTCAGGTGGGCTATAGTTAGAAGGTTGTATGCTGTACAAATTTTGCTGAAGAAAGGATTATGTACAAAGATAAAGACTAAAAAATTAAACGGGTGAGAACTGTAAGAAAACAATGCATATAGTACAACCTCAATTATCTGGACATCCATTCAATAAATTTCAAGTGCAACAAGAAAGTTTTACTTACAGCTTCACTCCAAACAATGGACAAAATCTTTGTTTCCAAAGCAATTCAGACAATTGATGTAATTGCGTAATTGTATACTTTTTATGTTACATTATTTGTATAATCATCAGTCAACTAAAGCACATTGGTGCATAGATATAAAACAGCAATTAAATAATTATGCCTATTAACTAAGTATTACATTTGAATTTAACGGACATTCAGATTTAACAGGCATCGTTTCTCCCAAAATAATATATTCAATCAATCAATCAGAATAGAGGTGGAAGGGGACCTCTATTAGTTCAACCCCTACTGAAGCAGGGGACCCTACATCATTTCAGACAAGTGGCTGTCCTGTCTTTTCTTAAAAACTTCCAGTGATGAAGCACACACAACTTCTGAAGGCAAGCTGTTCCACTGGTTAATTGTTTTCACTGTTTCTCCTTAATTCTAGGTTGCTTCTCCCCTTAGTTTAGTTTCCATCCCTTGTTCTTGTCTTGCCTTCTGGTGCTTTTGAAAATAAGCTGACCCGCTCTTCTTTGTGGCAGCCCCTCACATATTGGAATACTGCTGTCATGTCACCTCTAGTCCTTCTTTTCTCTAGACTAGGCATACCCAATTTCTGCAATTGTTCTTCATATGTTTTAGACACCAGGCCTTTAATCATCTTAGTTGTTCTTCTCTGCACTTTTTCCAAAGTCTCAACATCTTTTTTTGTAATGATGTGATCAAAACTAGATGCAGTATTCCAGGTATGGTCTTTCTAAGAATTTATAAAGTGGTATTAATTCTTCACGTAATCTTGATTCTATTCAATTGAGTACATACTTTCATGATATGATGTAGCAAGATTTACCAAAATTACGCACATGCTCATGAGCCACAGTGGCAAAGTGTTAGAATGCAGCATTGCAGGCTAATTCAGCTGACTGCTGGCTGCCAGCAGTTCGATTCTCACTGGCTCAGAATTGACTCAGCCTCCCATCCTTCTGAGGTCGGTAAAATGAGGACTCAGATTGTTGGGGGAAATAGGCTGGCTCTGTAAACCACTTAGAGAGGGCTATAAAGCACTGTGAAGTGGTATATAAATCTAAGTGCTATTGCTAAGTGCTAAGCATATTTCTTCAGAAATCTTAACCTTCCATATCTTATATAGTACTAATACATTTTTATCCTTATGGAATAAAATATATAATTGTATCTACATAAAAAAGGAATGTATCTGCAGTCTCAGGATAATTTCTTCTAGATTTAAGGAAGCACACAAAAAGTTTAGGAAAATCTTTGGGAAATTAGCTACTCCCCAATCCTTCAGTGAGGACTGAATATATTGGATATGAGACTCAATGCATGGAGTTTCATCTAAATTACTGAGTAATGTAGTTGTGGTGAGAAAGAGAATGCTGATATTTTAAAAGCGCAGTTTTAGTTACATCATCACTGCCTTGCTGGAACTTACCTTGTAGCCCACTACTTCTGACTCATTGTCCATGGCATGCACCTGTTCCCAGTTCAGCACTACCCTGGAATCTGTAATGTTCCACTCTAAATTTCCTGGAGGCTGGCTGGGTGCTTAAAAATATAATGAATACAAGATTTAAATTTACTTGGCATTCGAAGTTTCAAAGCAAATAATTCAGGTACCTGACTGTCACTACATCCTTTGTACACTGTTTTTGTGTTTGGAAACATTTAGAAGGATATGATTTTAAAGTGACTGAATTCCATTGAATATTCTGCTGACTGAAATTCACACCCAAGCCTGCAAGTGATGTTTATGCCATTTCAAACATGCATAAATAAACATTACTGCAAACTAGGATGAAATGCATGCAGACACATAGACACACACACACACACACACACACCTACAAGAGATCCTTTGCATAATTATCTACGCAATTGTAATTATTCTCTTTTTCTCTTCTTCCTTTAATTTAGTGGCTTGTTCCAGATTCCTATGAATGACTGCAAAAAAGACACTACTTTACATTTTGAATCAAATGATGGAAAAACAACAGCCATTGATTTTGCAAGGAGGCATTATCTGAACTGTTGACAATTTAATTGCTGAATAAAATAATTACAATTATAATAAAATAGGAAAAAAATCAATGTATTTGGAATTCCCTGAAAATCAGGAATCCTAGAATACATTTGCTGACATGGAAAAAGTAATTGAATTGAATTGAATTGAATTGAATTCCACCAAAACTGAATTAAGAAGTCACTCTTATAGATACTGTTAAAATTGTTCAGAAAACTCAGTAGATTTTACTTAATCCTATTTGATTTTCAGGCAAGAACTATTTTTTGCAACTCGCTATTTTCTAAAATTACGGGATAATTAGATTAGCAGTTGGTCAAGTATTAAATAATTAAATCTTGGACATCAATTTCTAAACATGCTAATGATCAGTTGTGTAGCTTTCTCTCAGGATGACCTCCTATTTAATAGGCATTGATAGTATGACTATGAATTATTAGGCACATGAATTAACATCTGTGTACTATAAATATATGTGCAAAAGGAAAGTATAAGAAAACTGGGGACTGGAAGAAAGGTAAAGATGGAGGGAGAAAGAACAAAGAATTATTTGGTTTCGATTTTGTACTGAGCAAATAATTTTGGAGATTATATTGAAATGATTGATAATGTTCTACTAATTTATAATGACCACATAAACAGATTTTCCCCAGAAATTTCTGACTTCAGACTGGTCTTTCAGGTCATCCAATGATGCATCTCTTATTACTGTAACTGAGTTCATTGATCTTGCTGCTAGCTGTCCTCTTTATTACATCCTTCCATCTTTCCCAGAATTACACATTTCTCAAGTGAACTAGATCATTGCATAATATGTGCAAAGTATGATTATTTGAATCTGGATATTTATGCTTCAAGTAAGAAATCTGGGTTGATTTTTTTGTTTTCTTGACTATCCACTACCAAGGTTCAAAAGCATTAATATCCCTATTTCTTCAAAGTCCAACTTTTGGTGTCACAAAAAACACCATTGCCTGCATGATTTTGATCTGTGTATGAATAGACACAGAATATCTTTTCAAAGACCTTCATGGCTAACTACAATGGGCAAATTTGCAGGGTAGTTGTTGACTGGTGGTTCTGATAGTACTAATAGTCAATCCTAAAAAGTAGAAGGTATCCCCCATTTCAATATCTTTTCATTTCTAGAGATGGTTACTGTTTGATTTTGTTTTTATTTATACTAAGTCCCATTTTATCACTGTGCTCCCTGACATTCATTATTGGAGTTTTGCAATTCCCAAGCTGAGCTAAAGCAGCAGATAAATGCCAATCAATTACTGTAATATGGTCTTGAGCATATACTTATCATTTTCAAGGATACAGAATAAGAAGAACGAAAGAAGTTGGTAAATATGTCTATTAATGTATCAACTAAGAAACAGAAGATAGCAAACAGGATGTTAGAACAAATGGTAGAAACTGCCAAGAAGAGAAGAGAAACCATAGTCAGAAAAGATAAAGATCTGAGGAAGGAACTAAACCAAGAATTTCAAAGAACTATTAGAAGAAACAAGAAGTAGTTTTACAATGACATCTGTAAAACATCAAAAGTGAACTTGTAGAAAAACAAGAAGTCTTAAAAAAAGTTTCTGAACTTAGAAACAATTTACACTCTCTAATTGGTATGCTAAACGTTATTTTTTTCTTTCTTCCATTCAATCATGTCTGATTCTTGCAAACTGCCTGAACAAGTCCCTGAAATTTTCTTGGCAAGATTTTTCAGAAGTGGTTTGACATTACCTTCTTTCTATGGCCGAGAAAAAGTGACTGGCCCAAGGACCTTTGGCTTTGTGCCTAAAGTGGAACTAGAACTCACAGTTTCCTAGTTTGTAGCCTGATGTCTTAACCACTGCACTAAACTAGCTCTCTTAAAGGATACTAGTGGGCTGATGATAACTGAATCAAAGATCAGACAAAGATGAAAAGAGTATAATGAAAATCTATACAGAAGAAATATTAACAACCCAGATATCTGAGAAGATAGTTGCCACTTACAAAAATCTCTGTTACTGAGAGTGTCTTGCATAGATAAGCAGCTATATAAATTGCATTAAGAAAAATATTGTTAGATCAGCACTCTGGACAGTACCAAGTTCGAAGCCTACAGAAATTTCTGCAAAATCCATACAAAAATGGCAAGCAACTCTCTGAAATATTTGTGACAATACAACAACACTAACAGAACTTTGCTAATCCAGTTTGATGTGTGTTGATCACAAAAGAGAAGCAATACCTAGAAAGACTCATTGGGTGTGCTGAACCACATGGCAGGATAATAAAGGAGAGGAAAAACAGAGAAAATGTTTTTATTTTCTATTTCTGTTACTGTTCACAAAGCTGTTTAAAACTTTGCTTGTAGTTACTCAGAATGAAAGGTGTTAAAGTAACTTTGAGGCTTGGTAGAGATGGAGATTAACTTTTCACTTCAAACTTGGGAGAATGGAAGCTAAAATAACTTATGCTACTACATCTTCATCCCAATATATAGCTCTTGATATATGTACATACAAGTCTGTACAGGTAATCCTTGACTTGCAACTGTAATGGAGCCTTCCCATTATGGTTGTAAGTTGTGACAACTGTAAAGTGGATCATCAAATGACAGACCAGATCAACACATTTACAGCATTGTTTATTGTGGTAATTAAGCCAATAACATGGTCATTAAACCAACACCAGGATTAAGTGAATTGTTCATTGTGGTAAATACCAGTTTTTGGTAAAAATCTGACCATGGGATATTGCAAGCAGCCATAAATGTGCCTGACTGCCGAATGCCTGAAATGCAGTCATGTGACTCAAGGGGCAGGAGAAGGCGGCTGTCAGAACTTCAGAATCAGGTCAAAAGTATCATTAAGGAAATCCATAGTAACTTCGAATGGTTACTAAGCAATAGGTCATAAGCTGAGGACTACTTGTACACAAATTCTTAATCAATGGAAATTCAAAAATATCCTTATACAGAGGAAAATGAAATAAGTTCTGGAAGAACCAGGCTTTAATGAACAAATGAAGCTCTAGAATTCATGGCTTTCTAATTATCTTCAGTATAATAGTAATGTTTCTAATACATTGAGAATATTGGGGCAGGAATATAATTGCTTTTCTGTTGTCCATGGGGTTGCGATGGGTCAGACACGACTTCACAACTGACAACAACAATAATCTCACAATCCCTATAGTAGCATGCACGGCATTATATTTAAATTGTTATTTCCTTTCCACAAGTTACAAGAGTAATTTTTAATTCACTGAGATAGCAATGTATACATTTCCAAAGAACAGAGCAGAGAATTCTAAGATGCTTTTTAAAAAGAGGTGGGTATTTTTGACTTGGAAGTAACGGGTTCTCATTTCTGCTCTTAATGATCCTGAAGTACCTACGTGGTTTTTTTGTGGTAGCATTGACAGTGGCACTGAAAGGACCTGCTCCTGCACTGTTGTATGCTCGAACAGCTGTATAATATACCAAGTTGCTCATCAAGCCTGTTATTTTCACCGATGTCTCCTTTCCGGTGGCTCTTACTTTGTTTGAAGACTGTTCTTGCAGACCATTGTTCCAGTATCTTACCTAGAGGGAATAAGTAACAGCTTAATTTAAATCACGCTGTTGACACTATTGTTTGGTGTCATCTGTTGCTTAATTAAAATAGCTGAAATGCAGTTTTGTTTCCGGGCTATTGTGGGAAAAAAACATTAGGAAGAAAAATATATATTCCTATGAAATCCAAAAGAGTTTTATTTTGATTTGAGGAAGATACCAGTATATTTACTGAATAGACATCTACCACTGGATGGGCATACCAGATTTTCTACTGTGATGTAGATAAAAACAGCAGAATCAAATTGTGTATCTGAGAATCAAATTGTGCACCTATTTTTGTAGTGAACTCAAAAAATCACATAAAGGTCTTGCTCATATTCAATTTTCCAAATGTGTACTTAAATGTACTTAAAGGTTTATACAGGTTTATACAGAATGAATTTAGATGGAAGATTATGTGATTTTCATGGGCGAAGATGCAGCAGATACCAACCAAGCATATATAAAGTTGGTTGCCAGTTAATTTTCATTTTCAGTGCAGTTTTAGTGAACTTGCTATAATTGATCTGGTGTAATGCCAGCAAAAAAGCCAAAACTCAAGTTGTGTATGAAAATCTGTGAATTTTTACATTTGGCTTTTATATTCCCCATAAGATCAGATTAATTTTCAGCTATGCCATGTGTTCATCTAGGTTCAGAAGCAGAAAGCTGCTTTTTCAACTTTGAAGAATCACCCATTTAAGTAACTTTCCTCCATAAAGTAGGAGTAGGGGTGGGGGAATGGGGAAAAAGTAAAAATTTCCATGACTCATTTTCCTATTGTGAAATAGAGACAAGATGGGTGATTTTTAATAGCAAACATAGGCTTACTATTGCAAAGTAATAATTATTTGAAAGCGAAAAGCATCCCATCGCAGTAAGAAAGAAGAACAACAGAAATTTGGTTTTACCTCATAGCCCAATAATCTCCCACTGCCCATTTTCCAAGGAATGGGAATCCAGGTAACTTCAATTGTGGAAGAAGAGAGACTATTTGCAGAAACACCAGAAGGAGCGATTGTAGGCTCTGAGTTAGGAAACAAAGAACAAAAAATAATAATGATTAAAAAACAGAGAAATCTAAGATGACTGATTTGTCAGTCAATTCAAATGTCTGCACTGAGATTAATTATTCATTTGCAGATAAAATGCCTAATTAATTTATTCAGTAACTTACCCTCTTCAGCAGAATACACTGTGGCCACTGGACTAAATGGCCCCTCTCCTTTATTATTGTATACGCCAACCTTGACTTCATAGGGTGAAAATGGGAAGATGCTTTCATTCCTAAAGACATATCTTGGGGTATCAGGTGATGTAACAACTGTCTGTATCCAGGTTGTAATGCCAAGAGGTCGGAAAGCAACCACATAACCAAATCCTTCACCATTCTGTAATTCTTCAGGAACTGGCTAAACATGTAGATGGTATACAAATAAGATACTAAAATCATCATCATCATCATCATCATCATCATCCTTGTAGAAATGTAACCTTCCAATCTGACAATGGTTTGTGATCTCATAAAACCTCTAATCAACCATTTTAATAGCATAGCTTTCTGAGTGCTAATAATTTCAGTTTAGTAAAGGAAAAATGACCTCCAATACATGAAAATTTAGAATATTTTATTTTATTTTATTTTATTTTTATTTTTAAAATTTATAAGCCGCCCCACTCCCAGAGGTCTCTGGGCGGCTAACAATAAAAACACATAAAACATAACAAAACAAACAGTACAAGAACAGTCATCCAGGGGTCAGATTTTATAAACCCCAGGCCTGCCGGAAAAGCCAGGTCTTAAGCAGCTTACGGAAAACCACCAGGGTGGGAGCGGTCCTAATCTCCGAGGGGAGCTGGTTCCAAAACGTGGGCGCCATCACAGAGAAAGCCCTCCTTCGCGGCCCCGCCAAATGGCACTGCTTGGCTGACGGGACCTGAAGGAGGCCCAGCCTGTGGGATCTAACCGGACGAAGGGAACTATAAGGTAGTAGGCGGTCTCGCAAATAGCCTGGCCCTACACATAAGCTTACTTATTTGGCAATAGCCCCTAGGATATTTAAGTGGCTCTTACTGCTAAGACACTATATTAAATAAAGCTGAAAGAATGGCACATAGGACCTTGAAGCCCATGGAATTTCATACAGATAGTTTTGAGGGACTTACTGTTTTCCAAGTTATTTTAGCTAAAGCTTTGAAGACTATGCTCTGTTTGTTCTACAATGCCTTCAAATCTGTCAGAATTTTTTAAATCTATCCTTTTGATGACAAAATATATATCAAGTTAGTTAAACAAGTGCTTGACTTCAGGCTGACTCTTCACCTTGTTGTTTATTGATTAAAACCTGAAATTAAATGTGGCATGACATTATCTTATGCCTTTTCAATGAAGGTTAAAATACAACTACAAGATATACTGCATAAACGTATGTAGTGAACACTGTCAACGACTTATTAAGTACCTGTAGTTAACTGAGTCTATACAGAATATAAAGCAGATTAGACCTTTCTTTACATGAAATAGTAAGACAACAGACTAATATTAAACCAAATAGATATTTAATTTACTGCTATGTAACAAAGTTATATGTCTTAAAAGGAAGAGTTGGTAAAATGAGTAAAAGGAAGAATGAACAACATCTACTTCATTCTCAAGAAACCTTATAAAATCATTTTAAAGACATAACACCCTGTTGGATATAAAAAGAAATGAAATAACTGTAATTACAAAAAAGAAGATGGAAAAATATTAAAAAGGTAGAAATCAAAAAAGGAGCATAACATAAAGATTGTAACTAGTGAAATAGAATTGAAACCTAATTAGAGTGGCATTACAATAAGCTTTATCTGTAAGAAGGCTATGGAGTTATTCATATGTCAGGAAGGTGGAATATAATTCAAAATATGGCTATATGAATTAGTCATTCAGTTTAATGGAGGGCATTCCCACATGAGGTTTTCCCATTAAGTACCCCTTTTCTTCCTTTCTCTGTATAAGATTGTGGTGTTAGTGAAACAACTTAAAGACTCTTCTGTGTGTCTGTTTGGATAGCTGTCTATGATCAGTGGAGCTAAGGAAAATAGACCCAGGATTCTCCACTTGGTACTGCTAAACAAGTATGAAAAACCATGGATAATATTATGGAATGTTGCATTAACTGTGTAAATAAATGTATGAAAAATTGTACCACACTAAAATATCAAATTAGAAAAAAAAGAAACAGAATATGTACATAACAAGCCCATGATATGATATGTATTTGTTAGTTATTCACATTCACAGTTAGATATTCTGGTATGTAGGAATACATTTTAGTTAATTATGAATTACAGGAGGAGGGGGGGAAGGGGAGGGGGAGGGGGAGAGGAAGGAGGAGAAGGACTTACATCCCATGTTATCACCAATTCAGACCTGCTGCCTCCACCTCCACTTACTTCAGATGGTGGTACTTCTGGAACTGTGAAGAAGAAACCCACCATTACATGTTGTCATGTGCTGATAACCTTGTTAAGGACTGGGGTGGAGCAGGAGGGCAATTAACTGCTTCTGAACCTTTGAGCAACATTCAGTATCATAATGGTATTTCCCCCCCCCCTTTCAGGAGTTGGAGATTAGAAACACTTTTTCTAGTACTTCCTTAGTGGCTCATTTTGCTGGGTGGTTATAGAGAAGGACATATCAATGTAGTAGACATTAATTGTGGGGACTCATGAGGCTTAGTTTCTCCCCTTTATTTAACATCTACATGAAGCAGTTGGAAAAACTCATGCATTGGGAGTACAGTAATGCTTGACATATGACCAGCCACTTACTGACCATTCAAAATTATGATGGGCCTGGTAGGTGTGCTTTACAGTTTGTAAAGAATTTCTGTCAAAAATCATGCCATACAAGCATCCTCTGAAATACAGTCAGCATTTCAAGAACTTGGGAACTGCCTTGCCTTTATGACTGGTTACAGTATTCTATGGTCATGTGACTGTGCAATTTGCTGACTTTTTTGCCAGTTTCCAACAAAAAGTGCACATTTGGAAGAATGTGCTTGCATTTACAACTGTGGCTTTCACTTAACGATCCCATATGCACTTAATGACTGCTGCAAAAAATGTTGTAAATGTTGTTTACAAAATAAATACTGGTTATGTGAGTGTCTCGACTTATGACCATAATGACATATCTGGTTCCAATTGAGGTTGTAAGTCAAGGACTACCTATATTATGCTATCCTGAAAAAAAGAGAGAATATATGTATGTACATATATGATAAAACAGATGGTGTAAGACACACAAGCTATATAGGCCCTGGCAGTATTAATATTAGAAATTCTAAGAAAAAATCTTATTTTTATGCAATAAATTCCTGTATAACACTTCTGTTCAATAATCACACAAACTTACTATAGTTCTTTACACCTTAAAAATCGCAAAATGGTTTTTTTTAACTATTGTGAGCTAAACTCTTGTATCTACATCTAGATCTTGTATCTACATTTAATTTCATTTTTCCAAACTTTAGCAAAAGAACTGCGATATAGAATAATTTTTATTATTCCCATGTAAGTTTTTCCTCCACTTATAATATTCCAGAACTAAACATCAAACAAGATTACTTAGTGTCCTGCTCTAGTAATCTCCATCCCTTGCTGACTCAAATTAGTTTACCCTTATTTTATAATAAGGGGATACAGCAAGAAACACCCACTTGTTAAACCTCATCTAAAGGTGCTTATTGGTGCCAAAAACAATGCATTAACTTTGCCAGCAGAAAGCTGTGCTAAATATATTGTCTTATGGAAAGATTTTTTTAATTTAAAGGACAGGTGATTCTGATTTCACAATCACAGTAGCATAGCAACACTGCATTATCAATCTTCTTTTTTGATTGTTTAAATTAATATAATTTTGCATACTTGTCCTTTCATACACTGTCAAAATATTAACAATTTGATTTGACACATCCTCCCAATACTTGAGACAGATTGGGTAGCGAGGTGGGAAAATATATTACAAGAGTTGTAAACAATAAAAACCACTTTGCTATGCTGAAATTATCCAATAAAACAAGCAAACAAAGAGACCCACTAACCTGCCTCTTCAGTTCTTACTTTTTCTGAGGGTAAACTAGGTTCTCCACCTCCAATTTTGTTGTTGGCAACTACACGAAATTCATATTCAACCCAAGGGTTTAAATCTACTGCAGTAGCCATGAATGTTCTCCCATCGATGGCATCAGGAACTGTCGTAAAACATTTTGGAAGAAATTACAAATTTCTCATTTTTTTCAATTATTATAAAATATCTAAAGATAGCTATAAACTTTACCTGTTCTGGCTCTTTGCCAACCCACTGAAAATGGTGTCCTGGCCTGAACAGTGTAGCCTGTGATTGGACTGTGATTATCTAAGCCCTCATACCAAGAAATGTGAGCGGTTGTAGCTGTTATTTCATCCACTTTTACATGCTCTGGAGGTCCAGGTGAACCTAATGCAGCAAGAACACATTTTAAAGTAGGTTGTGATCTTTTAAGTTAAAAATCACTAAAACATAATAACAAATGATTTTTATTCTTGCATCACTGCAAAAGAATAAGCCAATTTATAGAGCAATAAAAGAGATTTTTGTACATTCACCAAACCATTGTTTTGTTATTTTATGGTAATAAAAGGAAGCTCTAAAACAGGAAATCAATAAAAGACAATAGATTATGCATTCTTTTTGAGATCTTTATTCAGATTTCTCTACCTTTAAATTGTGTCTTTTAATCTAGTCTTTAATATCCTGTCCTGAATCTGTCAATCTGACAAGCTGTTATCTAAAGTAGTTTTGTTGTGAAGTTTAACACAATGTCAGCACCAGGGACAGCACTGCAGCACTAGGGATTTGACTTTCCTTCTAGGAAGGGGTAGAAAACCTTGGCTCTTTTATGACTCCTGAACTTCAACCCCCAGAATTGCTGAGCCAGCTGGAGGAGGTTTCTTGGATCAGGGCAGAGCAGAGCCCAGTAAATTAAAGCCCCATTGAAAAAAAATAATTTTCTATGGTTGGAAAGGTCAAATTTAACACATTCTCCAAGTCATGTAAAAAAGATGTTGAGTATATAGGAGGAGTATATATTGTGTGTATGTGTGTTATGTTTTGCTTTGTTCTATTTTGTCTTGTTCGTTAAAAATAATAAATAAATAAATAAATAAATATGTTGAACTCTAGAAAGAGTACAGAAAAGAGCAACAGAGATGATCAGGGGACTGGAGGCTAAAACATATAAGGAATGGTTGCTGGAATTTGGGCATGTCTAGTCTAATGAAGAGAAGGACGAGGAGTGACATGATAGCAGTGTTCCAATATCTCAGGGGCTGCCACAAAGAAGAGGGAGTCCAGCTATTCTCGAAAGCACCTGAAGGCAGGACAAGAAGCAACGGATGGAAACTAATCAAGGAGAGAAGCAACCTAGAACTAAGGAAAAATTTCTTGATAGTTAGAACAATTAATCAGTGAAACAACCTGTGTCCAGAAGCTGTGAATACTCCAGCACTGGAAGTTTTTAAGAAGAGTCTGAACAGCCATTTGTCTGAAATGGTATAGGGTTTCCTGCCTGAACAGGGGGTTGGACTAGATGACCTCCAAGGTATCTTCCAACATTATTATTATTACTATTATTGTTGTTGTTGTTGTTATGTTCTTAGTTCATTATAAACAGAGAAGGATTGGTTTTATATTTGTATTTGGAAACTTTAAAAATATTTTATTGCCTATACTGGAAAACAGACTACAAATTATAATTATATTGGCATTATCAGCTTCAGGTTGGACATGGAGATTATACTTCAAACCACTGCTCTGTTCTGAATACTTATGTCTAAATAAGGCAGCTTGCAAAATTATTTCACACATGCAGGTAGTTTGATCGGGAAAATACTATTCTTACCTAAACAATAAGCACTGTTTCTGTAAGAAAGCAAGGTGAATCAAATGTAAAGATGACTGACTTTTCATACAGGTCATTTCTGAAGATGGCAGTGGTATTAATAAATGCAATAGTCATTTTAATTATCACAAATGCTCTTGTGGTTTGGGACAATTATATTAAGAAATATAAGCAGTACCAAATCATACAAAATAATGCTGAATGGAAGGTATTATATGGTAACCAATGATGGAGTTGCACGAGTATAAAATGCTAATGTACCAGCTAGCGAACATACTATTCACCAATCTTGTATTTAATTAAATTTTCCCTACCTATCAAAGAATGTCCCTGAGTATTATTTAGATAGCTGGGAACAGTGGAATGAATATGGACACTGTGAACACTGAATGTTTGGAAGTACAGTTCATTAAGGCAAATTTTTAATAGCGAGACCTTTGGTCTTATAGAACCAAAAGTGTTGCTTCAGCTGTAGAAAAATACTTAAAATACATAGTTTTGAGCCCCTGTAATTAAATTATTTTCTATTTTTAGAATTCATTAATGTATTTAGTTCATTCTTAAGGAGAACTGGTCAGAGAGCCAGTTTGGTCTAGTGATTAAGGCACCAGGCTAGAATGCAGGAGACTGTGAGTTCAAGTCCTGCCTTAGGCATAAAAACCAGCTAGATTACTTTGGGCAAGTCACTCTCTCTCTCAGCTCACCTCACCTACCAGGTTGTTGTTGTTGTGGGGGAAAAGGAGGAGGAAGAAGTGTTGGATGTGTTCACCTGGAGTTATTTGTAAAAATAATAAAGGCGGGATACAAATAAAATGAAATGTCATTTCCACTAAAACAAGTTACTATGCTGTCATTGCTTGCCTTCATTTGCACAAATACATACAAAGTGGTGTATGTTTGTAACATATACTGTGGTTAAAAGAGATTCATTCTCATGTTCTACTTGAGGAAATTAGATATAATACCTCCAAATGGTATTCCTTAAAAAAAGATACCTCGTACTATAAGATCTGCTGCAGATGATACACTATCCACTTCAGTCTTCACTGTGCACACATATTTTCCACTGTGTTTCAGCTGAATATTTCTAATCATTAAGTCTCCAGATGCACTCTGTTGAGAGGAATAAAAAATGGTAACAATTAGCTTTGATTACAATATAATTGATCAGTTTTAAAGCATTTTTTCCTCAGATAAAGAGACAGTGGAGTAGAAGCTGAGCCCTCAGCCTGAAAGTAACACAGTGCAGTGATAAGCAACATGCGAGTGTAGTACTTCTGAATCGAAAGATAAAAAGCTGTTTCGTTGTATCTTTTCTTGGCATCTGTGATGTTTTCTGGGAAAGAATTGGAGAAATTGAGCACAGTCATACTTGCCCCTTAGATTGAGAAAGCTCATTTCAACAGTTTTAGAGAATCACCAGCCAGGTTTGTGTGGAAAGAAATACCCAGGTCAAAATGTTTGAAAACAAGATAAAGCTAATTGGATACTTCTCTTTCTAATGAGAGAAAAAGTGGAGGAGACACCTTAGGAAGTTGCTGTGGATGTTCTGGTAACTTTCAATTGAATTAAGAACAACAGGAGATGTGTGTTTAGGGAATGGAAGTTATACCAGCAAACTAACTAACATCTGCAGAAAGAAGACTAAAGCACTGAAACTAAACCCAATCAAAAAGTCTTCCCCACTGTATCAGTAATAAAAGAAAGAAAAGGGAAAGGATGTATCCATTGCTAAATAAAACCATAGAAGGATAGTTATGAAGGAAAGGCAAGTACCTTCAATTCCTATTTTGCTTTGATCTTCTCCCCAGAGGGGAATTGCATCAAAGCAAAACAACTAAGAAAAGTAGAGGCAAGCCAAGATAAGTAAAAACATGCTAACTACATGAGTCCTATTAATTTTTTTTATCTCTAATTACTATTCATACTTTATTTTTGCATGATCTATTAAATCTGTATAAGATTTTATGCTAGGTACACCTCTAAGTCTATTTTTGATCTTTCAAAGCTTGTTTGGTTGTTTTACTGTTTTTGTGATGCATATCCTCTCTTTCCCTGGATATTATGACAGGTTATTTCAAAACTGTCTTAGATCTTTTTTTCTCTGAAAATTTGGGATTTTTCTCCCCCCCCCCTTTTTTTTTACAATATCTCTCATTTCTTCCCATTGTTTCTCAGGTCTCCTTCACACGTTAAATCAACTAAATCTATTCCTTGCTATGATCTTATGATTTAACTGTATGTCATAGAATCACAGGGCTGAAGAAACCTTGGAGGTCTTCTAATCCAGGGGTATCAAACTCAATTTCATTGAGGGCCACATCAGCATTGCCCGTGTGTGTGTGTGTGTGTGTGTGTGTGGCCAGGGTGGGTGCAGCCTGGGCATGGATGGAGTGGGTGTGGCCAGCTCTACATCATTTGCATCAAGGATGCCTGTGGGGGCCTAAGCAGGAGTGGGACAGATCTGGGGGTCTCTGGCAGAAAGGGGTGGGACCAGGGCAAGTGCCAAGGCATGGTCCACTGGAGGGGCCTTACTGTTCCTCTCAGGCCATGTGGGGGGGCTGGATGGTGATATGGCTGCCCGGAGCCCTGGCAGCAGAGGTCAAACACCCAGCCTGGTCCTCAAGCACCTGTGGCACCAAGCCCAGCCCTTCTTCCCCAAGGGGGCACCCAGCTGCACTTACCACCTCCTCAAGGCTGCTGCTGCTGTGCTTTCTCTCCTTACCCAGGTTGCTCATGATGGGTATGAGGGCAAAATCAGAGGGAGGCCTATTCCCTCTCCATGGGAGGAGACCCGGCTTTGTATCCAAAGCTTCCTTAGCAATAGGATGGGAGACCCCGAGGATAGGCCAGGAGGAGGGGGCAAGAAGATGGTGAAAGGGCAGCAGGGCATGACTAAAGCAGGACTTCCCTCAGACCCTCCCTCTCCTTCTTTCCTTCCTTCCTTCCTAAGTACAGAGTGGTGGGAAAATATTTGAGATGAAGGAAGAAGAAAAACAGGCAAGAAATGCAGCTGGGGAGGTGTCATCCTTTGAAGAAATGCACCATTGCCTGGAAGTGGCCAGCACATGGCCCTCATCTACTTCACATATCTGGCTTGATGGGCACCTACTTCACATATCTGGCTTGATGAGCAGTGTGAGAGTCAACGTTATCTGCGCAATGCTGTCCAGCCCCCAGCCTGCCCGGTTTTGGGGCGCTTTCCACGCGGCGCCAAGAGGCTGAACTGGGTGGTGCAAATCCAAAAAGAAGCACGATGCCACCCAACCCTTAGCCTGCCTGGTTTCGGCAGGCAGAGGGGCACTCTCCTCACAGCGCCAAGTGGTTGAGCCGGGCGGTGCGAAGCTCGCCAACTTTGCATCTTGCTGCCTGCTGAAACCGGGCAGGCTGGGGGCTAGGCAGAATTGCACTTCTCATCAGATTCATGCCACCTGGCTCAGCTCTTAGCACTGTGAGGAAAGCACCCCGCTGCCTGCTGAAACTGGGCAGGCTGGGAGCTGTGCGGCTTCATGTTTCTTTTGGGATTTGCGCTGCCCAGCTCAGCCTCTTGGTGCTGTGAGGAGAGCGCCCCACTGCCTGCTGAAACCCTCCACCGGAGCCCACCAAGCTGGATATGTGAAGTAGGCGAGGGCCATTTGCTGGCTATTTCCAGGCGATGGTGCATTTCTTCATTCCTCACAAAGGGTGACACCTCCCCAGCATGTACGCAGGGGGCGGGGCCAACGTGGCAGAGGCTAGTTCCTCACTGTTTCCAGACGGCCTTGTAGAGCTAAAACTGAATAAGTTTCAGAAGAGATGGCCACCACAAAATTGTACATTGGCTCCCGGCCGGCCTGGGCCAGGGCCAAGGCAGCAGGGGCCGTTCCCTCACTGTTTCCAGGATGGCTTCGCAGGCCACATGAAACCACTTCACGGGCCACATTCGGCCCCCGGGCCTTGTGTTTGACATGCCTGTTCTAATCCAACCCTTGCTCAAGGCAGGAGTCCTTATACCATCCTGGAGAAATGGTTGTCTGATATTTTCTTAAAAACCTCCAGTGATGGAGTACCCATGACTTCAGCAGACAAGCTGTTCCACTGACTAACTGTTCTCACTGGCAGGAAGTTCCTTTTTATTTCCAGAATGGATCTCTCTTTATCTTCCACTTAATATTTCTTGTCCTGTCCTCAGGTGCTATGGAGAATAAATTGATCCCCTCTTCCCTGTGACAACCCTTCAGGTATTGGAAGATTTCTGTCAGGTCTCCCCTAATCTTTCTCTTCATTAGACTAAACATAGCACTCATTGTATGATTTGGCCTCCAGACCCCTTATAATCTTTGTTGCTTTCCTTTGCACTGTTTCTAGGGCCTCAGCATATTTTTTGTATTCTGTTGACCAGAATTGGATGCAGTATTCCAAATATGGCTTCACGAGTGCAGTATAGAGTCATATCATCACTTTATGTGATCTTTATGGTATTCTTCTGTTGATGCAGCCTAGAATTGGGTAGGGGGCTTTTTTTGGCAACTGCACCACACTGCTGACTCATACTTAAGTGGAGGTTTACCATGTCCTCAAAATCAAATCTTGATGGCACATCTTTTTCTGTCATTTAAACCAATACATTTGACCCCAATAATTCATAGTTTGTTTATAATCCACACATGGAAGTATATCTTGGCTGACTTGAAGTTTTCTATCTTCTATATTTTAACATGCAATTAATTTAATTCCACTATTATCCTTTCTGTGATCTTTAGGTGTAGAGTGTGCCTTCATATTCATTTAAGCCAGTATTAGTAGCCAATAAATAATTGTGTTTGTAAAACTCAAGATTATTATACTCCCATCTTTATATTTACAGTATATGATTGAAATTGTCCTATAATTAGAGATCAATCTTTTCCCAACTTTTTATTGTAATAAGCAATTAGTAGTGAGTGGTAGATGTATTACCCTTCTAGATTACCTCCTGCAATCTGTCACAGAATTATTCAGCCTTAAACCACTACATCTATAATCATAGCATACAATTGTATAACTCTGTTTCTCAATGAATTAGCCACCAATTTAAGTGGATATAACTCTGTTACTTATGAGCTTAGCAATGTCAATTTTATGTCTGCTGTTCCATACCTTAACAAGGTCCCATATCCTTAATAGTAACAATCTGATTTAACACATTCAATTCCTGTTAATTTTTGCTTTGTCAGCTTCAGTTTCTCCCTCTCCCTCCCTCACTTTCCCTTCTCCCTTCCCTTCCCTTCCCCCATTGCCATCATTATTGACATTATTACCTTCTGACCTGAGTACCAACATTTGGTATCCAACTTGTTTAATTGTTTCAGCTATATCCATAATGTTTTCTTGACAACAATATAGAAACAGTTTCTCACTGCCTTTTCTGAGTATTTGGATTCCCAGTGCAGATAACATTTTATTTCAGTTCTTTTCTTCTGACCTTATCAGCAAAGTGACCAACCATAAACCCACCTTTATTGCACTAAGGATCATTAAAGCTATTGATCAATCTGTCAAGGTTCTAAGGAGAAAAAAAAAGATACTCAAATATCTATGATTTACGTTGACCAGATTTAGTTCCTAGTTAATGAAAATAGATTTCAGTTATAAGGAAATGGCTCCTTTGTTACCCCAGGAAATGCTTCTTCATTTGTTTTCAACAATGTCTGCCACCTGATTATGTTATTATTATATTGTGACCATCACACTTATTATTATTATCATAAAAGAGGCCAAATGTCGCCCCTTTTCTAAGAACTTTAATTTTATTAGAAGTTTCTGGTACTTTTATCATTCATGTTAGTGCTCTGCATTTTAGCATCTAAGATTAACTTAAACTGGAGATACCAGTTTATTTTGAATTGAATTTAGGATTTTGTGCAAGTAGAAAACAGGCTCCATCTCTATCATAGCTCCAGGACTTAATCTTGAATATGTACTGTAGTATAATTTGGCATTAAACTATTGAGTTTTAAACCAAAATTAATGTTAGCATTATTAAGGTTGGTATGTCTACATATTTTAAAAGAAGGAATTATCTCATCACATTTTAATCCCTTGCCGTTTAAAGAATATATATTCTTTTGTAATTCCAGGTGCACTCTGGGACAGCAGTTCATATTATCTTGATAAACAGCAATTAATAAAAAGTTGAGTTTAAATCCGAAATCAGAATCATAACCAAAATAACAATTGCCATGCTGCCTCAACTTTTTTTCCTTTTGATTTCCATGCCAAGCATTGAGGTACTTCATGCTACCACGTAACCCTTTACTTTTAAAACAAGAAAGGGAGCTTTGATTGAAAGGTAGAATATTCTGCTACAGAATTCTTGCAGGAAATATAATCATAACCTGAAAGAAGATGGTATTCTCTGGTAGTAATGCTTAGAGCAATTAATATCTAAAATGCAATTATATTTATGCATGTAGTTTGCTAGTGACAGTTGGAAGAAATCAAATTTTGCTTTTTGAAAATGGAGATTATTGGAAAAAATAAACTGCAACATAAATATAAGTAATATTGAACTGGATCAATTCAAATTAGGAATGATTGTTAGGGTTAGAGTCATAAGTCAAGGACTTCCTGTATTTGTGTTTTAAGACTCCTTAACACCTTGCATCATATATTAGGGATGGAATATAAGTGATACCACTTTCCTCTTTTCATAATGCACATGAAAATATTTTCCCAGGTTGTTTGAGTTATCGATTTCATTTTAGAGAAGTGTTTTCCAATTTGCAATCATATTTCATGTTCCGCTATATTTTTAAGACAGACGCTAAAATGAATCCTATTTTTTTTATGTCCAGTTTAATTTTACTCCATATATTCATACTGTTTGTGGCCAGAAAACATACATTATTCAGTTTGAATGGTTTAAATCTTAAGTTATATCTTCAATATAAAATATCGTCAGCCATATTTAGTGTCTCTTTCAGTGACCTCTTCAGTAAAATTAATCTTGTTATAAATATTCAGACTGTAAACTAAGTAGTGGGACTATCAAAGAGAATAATTTTACTTTAAATAAAAGCCTGACTACTTCTTTGATGCAAATAGAAAAATCCATACATATATAAATCCATACCATATATAATTATAGTAAAATGCAACACATAGCATGATGAATTGTAATATATATGGTCCTCGACTTATGACAAGAATAGGAATCAGAAAATTTGTGCAGTTGTGAAATGAGATACCACATGTCTGCATTTGATTTTCCATTCCCCCCCCCATTTTTTTAATCACAATTGTTAAGTGAATCACTGCACTCATTAAGTGAGATATCACATGATCACAACTTGTGATCTCTTCCCTGCTTCACTATTGGCTTTGCTTGGAGAGCTGGGAAGGTCACAATTGGTGATCATGTGACTGCAGAATGCTGCAACCACTGTATGTTTAAGCTGGTTGCCAATCATCTGTATTCAAATCACTATAGGGATGCTGAGAAAATTGTAACTGTGAGGACTAGTCATAAGTCAGTTTTTTCCAGCACTGTTGTCACTTTGAATGGTTATTAAACCATTGGTCATCATGCAACGACTACCTATACTAATAATTCACCATATTACTAAAATCAGTACAATCCATGTAAATCAGTCTTGGATGCTATGAAAACAAAGAAAAAACAAAGAAAGAAAGTTCTGAAACCGTCAATGTTTCATATAGTTTGGGCAGTGAAAGATTTTATTCAGTTTCAGCTAGCAAAATTAGATCTCTGCTACTGTGGATAGTTTATAGTGACAGGAAGGACACCTTTCCTGATAAGCAGTTTGCTGGCCCATAGAACACAAATTGTCAACAGGCTGGATAGAATTAAAGTAGTAAAGCATTATATTACCAATATCTGCACAATTTCAGCTGATATTAGCATTCTCAAATCATAATTGCAACATTAATAATTCAGGAAATCTTGGTAGTTACCCAGCATAATCTGAATTTTTACAGGAACCTATGACTAACCCATCATTTCTACGACTTTTACCACCAAAATCTGAACAAACAAGAAATAATAATGATACTTTAAAGAAGCAAACTTTAAAAACTCACAAGACAATTTAAAAAACGTCATGGAAATAAAAATTACTTAAGTTGAAACAAAGGAACTAGAGGCCATAACTAAAGAACTAACGGGGTTGTGAAAATACAAAACTTTGCCTACTTGAAAATGGAACATCAATCATCAAACTCTTTGGAAAGTTATTTGGGGCTGTAACCAAAATAGCCTGTGTCCACATTGAGCAAAACTTCAAGAACCACTATCAAACTATCCAGAATACGGTAGTCTTTAACTTACAACCATTCTTGTAGTGAGCATTTAAATGGCACTGAAAAAAAAGTGACTTATGACTGTTTTCACACTTACGACTGTTGCAGCATTCCCGTGGTCATGTGGTCAAAATTTGGCTGCTTTAGAATGGTTGCAGTATCTTGGGATCACGTGATTACCTTTTGCAACCTTCTGACAAGCCAAGTCAATGGGGAAGCCAGATTCACTTAACAACCATGTTGCTAATTTAACAACTGCAGTGTTTTACTTAACTATGACAAGAAAGTCATAAACGAGGGCAAAACTCACTTAAAAACTGTCTTGTTTAGCAACAGAAATTTTGGGCTCAGTTATGGTGGTAACTGATAAGTTTCATGCTATCATAATTTATTTAACTACAAATTACATTTATAAAGCTATATGCTAGTGATAGGAGACCAGATGGTACATAATTAGAATGCAGTATTGCAGGCAAACTCTGCTCACAGCTGGGAGTTCGATCCTGATGGGCGCATGGTTTACTCAACCTTTCATCCTTCTGAGGTCGGTAAAATTGTGGGGGCAATATGCTGACAGTGTAAATTGCTCAGAGAGTGCTATAAAGCACTGTATAATCTACGTGCTAGTACTACTGCTATAGACAACAGAATACAATTTAATCAGGAATAGAATTATGGGTTTTTTGCTTTTTCAACATGATTCCATGTCTAATAATAAAGCAAAATTACATAATTATATTATAACTTACCCCACCCACTCTCTCAAAATGGGATGCATCTTTTCTGAAGTCAGTCAATGCACTATTAAAATACCATGTGAAACTTATATCCAGGAGTGGGTCATGTTGAACCTGGCAGGGTAAAATTATACTTTCCCCTACAGTCACATCCATATTTGATGGTGCCAATGTTATCCGGGTTGGTTCTGCAAAGAACATACAGAGTCAGTTCTAGCTAATGTGCTAATGTGTTAACATTTGAATGCTTTTTAAAATAATCTATTCCATTTAAGAATACAAGAAAAAAACCCTGAGTCAATTCTAAGCTCTCTATTAGGTTTTCCAAACTCTGTCTATTTTCCAAGAATAGTAACAACAAAATAATGTCATAATGATGTAATCATGCTGTATTTGAAAAACTGAACTTAAAAATTTCCAGATTTTTTTTAAAAAATGCAAATTAGATACAGTTTGATAATGTGTTCGGTAATACTTTAGTGGGAATTATGTAGAAAGATTCAGTGGGTCTTTTTGTATGTTTGCTACTGAATGGTTGGTTTTGTGTTACATAGCACTGTTACTGAAACAATCATACTTTGTAAAAATTTGCTTTTGGGTTACCACAAAGTGTAGAACATCCAGTAAATCATAGTAAAAATAAAGAAATGCTTAAACCGATACACAAACTCAAGCCTCTCTCACAATATGATAAATATTGCAACATGATTATTATGGCATTTCTTTGCCACCTGGAACCATATGATGTAAGGAAGATACAATATATTTCCTCCTTTTTGTAATTTTTTTTTGATGGGGGTAAGTTTAATATGAGATGTAAGCAAAATTGTTTGAGTCCATTCATTTTGTCCCTCAAACTCCATGGGGAAAATGGCCAAACAGGAAGGAGAGGATAATAATTTTATTGGATAAAATTGTTCCTTGCTCCTTTAGGCATACTACGGGCACTACAAAAAGAATTTGAGAGTGCATGAAACTTGCGAGCTGCAGGTTGCCATTAATGTAGAAGAAGACTAAAACAAGTTATTTTGATTTTTTTAAAAAAAAAACATTATTGATGTATTATTCTACTATACAAATTACAAAAAAACTGGATTTTCAAAAAGAATGACCCAAACTGCAAGTATTTCTTTCAGAGGTGTTTGTAGTGACAAGCATTGATTCAAAATGGTGGGCACAGTTGGGAAATCAATTTTCTATGTGTATGTGATATACTATATATTTAAAAAAAGAGTGGGCTTTTCTGTGTCGTCTGAGTGTGTCCACCAGCAGGTTTCCTCTTTTATTTGCAAACAAAATTGTATTTCATTTTCTTCAGTAAATGGAAAAGGTTCTGTGAATGATTTTCCTTGCTATCTCCTACTGCACTTTATCTTCTAATTGTGTACAGCATCTTCTTTTTGCTAAAATTGCTATGATATTGACTACTATTCTCTGTTGACTGATAGATCAGGAAAATCCTGTCTTTTGAACCTTTACTGGAACATTTCATAGTTATAAATAAAAGATCATTCTCTGTTTTTTCCATTTCATTTTTTTCAGATTCTGGAGGGGAGATCCATGATTACCTCTCAGAATATTAACATTTGATGGCATATCAACCTCTCATGCCTTCCTGCTTTTAATAGATGTTTCCAGAGGCTTTATGACTATTCCATGCCATCTGCACTGGCAGTTCAGAACCTCTGAAAAAATGTATAGTGTGACATTAACAGCAATTTAAAAAGATCTCAAATTATATATTTCATTTGAGTTATGTACACTATGTTATTTTAATCTAAGATGAAAATTCAAAATCAAAACATCTCTTTCACACATTACTCAATTCATATAATTTTCAAGTGAGAGACTATTAGCTGTCTAATTACCTGTTACTAATAAGGCAGTTGAGCTGCTAGCTTTTCCAAACTTGTTTTCTGCCAGGCAGGTATAGCTTCCAGCATCTGATTTACTCACATTAGTTATTTGGAAGCTTCCATCTTTTAAGAATGATATTCTAAAAATAAAAAAAAATGTAGAAAAAATAAGATTATATTTTGGGAGATTTATGTGTTTCTACAATTTAAGAGTTTAAACAATTAAAATATTTACAAATAGTTCTTCTAACAATTCTAATATATCTCTGTACATGAGATGACAGAGTATGTTCCATACTGTATTCATTACATAATAAAGTTATTTGTTTGGAATGTTCCCTCTAAATTTCCACACTTCAGTGAGTCTGTGGATGAAAGCAGGCCTTCGGAAAATATGCAACTACCTATTTTATTATGGGTGATGCCCTTTTCAGAAAGCAATATGGAATGGAGGATTACAGGCTATTTCCCAATGTGATTAGAATCCATGTTCTTCCTCCAAAGAAACCAGTAAGATTTTTTTATCTGCAATCTTTTCTCAAGCTGTGAGAAGGGCAAAGGGAGAAGGTACAAATGATCATATTGGGTATTTTTCTTTCCTGTTTGGAGTGTTTTAACAAGAGCCGTCTATGATACTGTGCAGCTGAAATTAACTTAAACAGAAACAGATTCTTATAAGATTCAAAGAAGCTGTCCTGAATTTCAGAGTAATTGTAGCTGCACTGTGCCTCCATGGAGCAGCCTCAGAGAGGTGTTTTGGAGAATCAACCCTAATATGTAACCACTTTTCCCATAGTTTACAAGCTGTTCCTTTTATCTTTTGCATGCAGTATAAGCACTACTAAGAATTAGATAGCATAAGCATCATTAAACATATGAAAGCAGGAATTGTCTGAAGAATAAAGACTGCACTTCTCATGTGTTGTAGTTCTGTTTCTATGCCAGAAGGATAAACTGACTTAGCTGAACTACCCTATTTCCCCATTCATATTCTTATCATCATGATTCAAACAAAAGCAACATACCAAAGAAGTTGAAAAATATCATTAGTATTGTTATGTCCTGAGCCTGTGCAAGCAGGCTTGGGGCATTGCAAACGGTCCCGGGCAGGTGCAAGTTGCCCGGGACCAGACAGGCTGTCGCCAGTACTTGTGCGCATGCGCAAGTACTGGCGCGCCAAAAGTTGCAGATTGACCCGGGGATGGCCTATATAAGAGGCCAGGAGTTTTGGGCGTTGCCGGTGTCTTCTAACTATAAAGCTGAACTAAGAATAAAGAGTTCCTGAGAACTACAACTGCTTCTCGTGTCTTGCCATTTCGCGAAGGAAGCAACACTGGCGATGAGGATGGGATTGCCTTACATCGAAGAAGAAAAGGTGTAAGCTTACCCGAGTGAGTCCTGAGCGGCAGGAACGGCGTTGACTCGGCAGCTACCCGCCAATCCAGCATGCATTCGGGGGTAGGCTGGCTGATAGACCCTTCCTTCTACAAAAATGGCAAAGATTGGAAGGCTTTCGGAATTCGACGTCTCACATCCAGAGAGGTGGGAGTCCTACGTAGCCAGGGTGGAAAACTACCTCAAGGTGAGCCAAGTAAGGGAGGATAGTTTAAAGGCTGCCACCCTGCTGTGCGTTTGCGGTCAAGACGCATTCGAAATCGCTGAGAACCTTGCAGCACCTGTTCCTCTAGATTCTGTCAGCTACGCAGATCTAAAAGAGCTACTGAAGGAGCACTTCCAGCCCAAGATGTCCATCATCGCGTGGCGCCACACCTTCGAGCAGAGAGATCAACGACCCGGAGAATCGGCCAAGGAGTACATCACCGCATTGAGGAAGGCCGCCAAACAATCAAGGACCTCGAAGAACGACTGAGGGACAGATTTGTATGCGGACTAAGGCATAGAGAGTTACAACAGAGACTTTTTGCCAAGGAGGACTTGTCTTTCCAAGATGCCTTGAGAGAGGTCACCGCAGAAGAAGCAGCGGGCGGCGCCATCAAGAACATGCGGCCGATCAGAAACAGTCCAGATGCTGCATCCGTGCACCAAGAAGAAGTCCAAAGAAACTCTGAGGAGGATCCTGACAAGGAAGTGGACCGTCTCCAACCCACAAAGGAAGGGAAACAAAAAGGAAGCTCTTCAGCGCTCCCCAAGTGCATCGGCTGTGGAGGTCGCCACAAGTTCCGCTCCGCTATCTGCAGGGCGTGCGGAAAACAAGGACACATTGCAGCTGTGTGCCTGGGCCGTCAGAAGGTACAACCTCAGGAAGAATTGCGCCTGAAAGGTACCAGGGGTCCCAGCCAGAATAGGGTGGGGTTTTGCGCTTCGCGAAGAAGCATCTATAGGACAGGCACACACAAGCCCATTAAGAAAATGGTGAAGCTACAAGGGGTTCCATTAACTATGGAACTGGACATGGGGTCTGCACTTTCAATCATTTCTATGCATACATTTAGGAAGATTTGTTCCGGCAGCGGAATCCAGGCCAAGTTGAGGCCTTCTGACATTGTGCTAACAGACTTTCAAAACTCCAGAGTGTGTGTTAAGGGGGAGGCCACCCTTAACGTGCAATATAAGGATTTTGAGGGTCCACTAGACCTATTAGTAGTAGGGGGTGAACGAACGAGTCTCATAGGACTCGATTGGTTTGAGGCCTTGGGGATACACGTCACAGGGCTCAACAGCCTACAAACACTCGACCTACAGGAAGTCTGCAAAGAATTTGCAGATGTTTTCAGCCCCCAGCTGGGCACATTCAAAGGACCCCCTGTGTCATTAAAGCTAGACCCCACTGTCACTCCCATTAGAATTAAAGCAAGAAGGGTCCCTTTTGCTTTAAAGAGTAAAATTGACACTGAGTTGGATAAACTGATCCAACAAGGAATTCTAGAACCTGTTGACTCCAGTCCCTGGGAGACCCCCATTGTCACGCCTCTCAAGGCAAATGGGGACATTCGCATCTGTGCTGATTACAAATGCACTCTGAATAAGGCATTGCAGCAACATGCCTATCCTGTTCCTGTGGTCAGTCATATTCTGGCCTCCCTCAAGGGGGGGCGTGTTTTTGCAAAGCTTGACCTAGCTCAAGCATATCAACAGCTGCCTGTTGATGATGATGCTGCTATAGCTCAGACCATTGTGACCCACAGAGGGGCTTTCAAGGTAAAGAGGCTACAATTTGGAGTAAATGTCGCTCCTGGGATTTTCTAAAGCGTAATGGAAAACACACTACGGGGTATACCAGGGGTTTGCCCCTACTTTGATGATGTATTAATTTCAGGAGACTCCATACACAATTTAGCTGAAAGGCTGAGGGCTGTCCTGTCAAGGTTCAGGAAAACAGGCCTCAAACTTAAAAAGGACAAATGCAAAATTGGGGTGCCTTCTACTGATTTCCTGGGGTTCAAAATTGATGCTGCTGGGATTCACCCTGCTGAATCCAAACTAAAAGCTATTATGCATGCCCCTAGGCCAAAGTCTAAGGCCGAACTACAGGCCTTTCTGGGCCTTCTGAATTTCTACAATTCCTTTCTTCCACATAAGGCTAGTGTAGCTGAGCCTCTTCACAGGCTATTAGATAAACAGGCAGTGTGGCAGTGGTCACAAACACATGAGGCAAGTTTCAATGAGGTCAAGGCCTTACTTACTTCTAACAGTGTACTTGCACATTTCAATGAATCCCTTCCTGTGTGCATCGCTTGTGATGCTTCCCCTTATGGGGTAGGAGCTGTACTGAGCCACCTCAGGTCTGATGGAACTCAGGTTCCTGTTGCATATTACTCCAGAACATTGTCTTCTGCTGAGCGTAATTATGCTCAAATAGACAGGGAGGCCTTAGCTGTTGTTGCTGGGATTAAAAAATTCCATGATTTTTTATATGGTAGGCATTTCACGGTCTTCACTGACCATAAGCCTTTGCTGGGACTGTTTACCACACGTAAGCAAACCCCCCAAATCATCTCCCCCAGGATGCTCAGGTGGTCTATCTTTTTGTCTGCATATGATTTTTCCCTACTTCACAAGCCTGGGAAGGAAATGGGCCATGCTGATGGCCTCAGTAGATTACCCCTGCCGGTAATAGAAGCTGACCCCGCGCCAGCCATCAATCTTCTTTCTATCCAAGCCTTGCCCGAGTCCCCTCTGAATGCCAGGGATGTAGCTGCTGAATCAGGCACAGATCACACACTTTCACGTGTCCTTTCTTGGGTTTTGTCTGGATGGCCTGAGCACTGTCCTGGTCCTGAGTTTCAGAGTTTCTGATCTAAAAGGAACGAGTTGTCCACCTCTCAGGGTTGTCTGCTTTGGGGAAGCAGAGTTGTCATTCCCACCTCAATGAGGACTAGGGTCTTAGGTTCCTTCCACGAGGGTCATCCTGGCATTGTACGAATGAAGGCTCTTGTGCGCAGCCATTTGTGGTGGCCGGGCCTAGACAAAGACATTGAAGCTAAGGTGCACGCATGCCACCTTTGTCAACGCTCACGCCCTGAAATGCCCCAAGCTCCTGTACATAGATGGGAGGAAACACAGTCTCCATGGTCTAGGGTGCACATTGACTACGCTGGGCCCTTTCAGGGTCAATTCTTCTTGGTCCTCGTTGACAGCCATTCAAAATGGCTTGAGGTTGTACCTGTCTCATCCACCACCACTGCAAAGACCATTCAGGTACTGAGGGGGATTTTTGCTGCACACGGGCTCCCAGACGTCATTGTGTCTGACAACGGCCCACAATTCACTTCCTCCGAATTTCAAGCTTTCTTGCAGGCTAACCTGATTCGTCATGCCACCTCTGCACCTTTCCACCCGTCCACCAACGGTATGGCTGAATGCATGGCTCGCATCACCAAGGACGCTTTGAAGAAACTGACCTACGGAGACTGGCATCACAGGTTGGCTGACTTCCTCCTTTCTTATCGCACCACACCATCCACTTCTAAAGGGAGAAGCCCAGCTGAACTTCGTTGGGGGTGCAAACTGACTACCAAGCTTGACCGGTTGCATCCGGACAGACTGCCTCCTTCTGTCTCTCACCCCAGGGCACCTAGGCAAGTACTTGTGGGTGCCCCAGTTTGGACTCGTAATTACGGGCCTGGTCATACATGGGTCCCCGCTTCTATATCCAGGGTCACAGGTCCTCTGTCTTACG